CAGGCCCACATCAAGACACTTAAAATGCCAAAAATTAAAATGCCAAAAAGTAAAGACAAAGAGAGAACCCTAAAGGCAGCAAAAGATAAGCAACAGGTTAACTACGAAGGAACCCCCATAAGGCTCTCAGCTCACTTCTCAACAGAAACACTACAGGCCAGAAGGAAATGGCACAAAGTAATCAAGGTCATGAAAATCAAGGATCTGAATGCAAGACTACTCTACCCAGCAAGGCTATCATTCAAAATACAAGGTAAAATAAAGAGCTTCCCAGACAAAAAAAAAAGGCTAAGGGAATACATTACCACCAAACCAGCACTGCAAGAAATGTTAAAAGGACTGCTGTAATTAGCAGGAGAAATAAAAAGAAAAATAGAACCACACTAAACAAAAATGGCAATAAATAAGTACATATCAATAATCACCTTAAATGTAAATGGACTGAATGCTCCCATATAGATGAGCATGACTCATCTATACGTTGTTTCAAAGAGACCCACCTCACAACAAAAGACTCACATAGGTTGAAAGTGAAGGGATGGAAAAAAATCTTCCAAGCAAATGAAAAGGAAAAAAAAAAGCTGGGGTAGCAATACTCATATCTGATAAAATAGATTTCAAAATGAAGGCCATAACTAGAGGTAAAGAAGGCCACTACATAATATTGTAAGGATCTATCCAACAGGAAGATATAACCTTGATAAACATATATGCACCCAATATAGGAGCACCAAAGTATATTAAAAATCTTCTGGAGGACTTCAAAGAAGAAACTGACAGCAATAAAACCATAGCAGGGGAATTCAACACCCCGCTGACATCACTGGATAGATCCTCTAGACAAAAAATTAGGAAGGAAACAGAAACTCTAAAGGCAGCACTAGACCAAATGGATTTAACAGATATCTACAGAGAATTATACCCCAAAACTACAGAATTCACATTCTTCTCAAGTACAAATGAGACATTCTCAATGACAGACCACATGTTAGGACACAAACTAAAACTCTACAAGTTCAAGAAGATTGAAATCATATCAAGTATCTTCCCAGATCACAATGGCATGAAACTAGAAATTAATTGCAACAACAACATGCAAAGACATTTGAACACATGGAGGCTAAATAGCATGTTATTAAACAATGAATGGGTTACCGAGGAGAGCAAGGAAGAAATTAAAACCTTCCTGGAAACCAATGAAAATCAACACACAACAGCACAAAATCTATGGGATGCAGCAAAAGCAGTTCTGAGAGGGAACTTCATAGCACTACAGGCCTACCTCAAGAAACAAGGAAAATTTCTAATAGACTATCTAAACTCACAACTTAAAGAACTAGAAAGCAAACAAAAAGAAAACCCCAGAGCAACTAGAAGGAAGGAAATAGTAAAGATCACAGCAGAAATAAATGACATAGAGACCAAAAAAACAATTCAAAGGATCAATGAAACAAAGAACTGGTTTTTCAAAAAGATAAACAAGATTGATGGACCCTTAGCTAGACTCACCAAGAAACAAGGAGAGAGAACCCAAATATACGAAATCAGAAATGAAAGAGAAGTAACAACAGACACCACAGAAATACAAAAGATTGTTAACAACTACTATGAACAATTATATGGCAATAAATTCGACAATCTAAGTGAAATGGACAAATTTCTAGAAACACACAGTCTCCCAAAACTGGACCAGAAAGAGATAGAAAACTTGAACAGAACAATAACAACTAAGGAAATTGAAGAGGTAATCAAGACTCTCCCAGCAAACAAAAGCCCAGGCCCAGATGGCTTCACAGGGGAGTTTTACCGAACATTGAAAGAAGAACCAACACCCATTCTCAAACTATTTCAAAACATTCAAGAAGAAGGAAGACTTCCAAACTCGTTCTATAAGGCCAGCATAATTTTACCTCCAAAACCAGAAAAAGACACTACAAAAAAAGAAAACTACAGGCCAATATCCCTGATCAACATAGACGCCCAAATCCTGAATAAATACCAGCAAATGGGATCCAGCAATACATCAAAAAAATTATTCATCCTGACCAAGTGGTATTCATCCCAGGGAAGCAAGGCTGGTACCGTACTTGCAAATCAATAAATGTGATACACCACATAAATAAAATGAAGAATAAAAACCACACGATCATATCAATAGATGCTGAAAAAGCATTCAACAAAATCTAGTATCCATTTCTGATAAAAACGCTCAGCAATGTGGGAATAGAGGGATCATATCTGGACATAATAGAGGCCATATATGAAAGACCTACAGCCAACATCATACTCAATGGGCAAAAACTAAAAGCATTTCCTTTAAGAACCGGAACAAGACAGGGATGCCGACTTTCACCACTCTTATTTAACATAGTACTGGAAGTCTTAGCCACAGCAATCAGACAGGAAGAAAAAATAAAGGGATCCATATTGGAAAGGAAGAAGTGCAACTGTCATTATTTGCAGATGACATGATATTATACATAGAAAACCCTAAAAACTCGATCAAAAATCTACTAGACTTAATAAATGAATTTGGCAAAGTAGCAGGATACAAAATTAACGTCAAGAAATCGATGGCATTCTTAAACACCAATGATGAACTCACAGAAAGAGAAACTGAAAAAATAATCCCATTTACCATTGTGGCAAAAAAATGAAGATAGCTAGAAATAAACGTAACCAAAGTAAAGGACCTATTTGCAGAAAACTCCAGGACATTGAAAAAAGAAATAGAGGAAGATATAGAAAAGTGGAAGCACATACCTTGTTCATGGATTGGAAGAATTAACATCATTAAAATGTCCATATTACCCAAAGCAATCTATAGATTCAATGCAATCCCCATCAAAATACCAACGACCTATTTCACAGAAGTAGAACAAATACTTCAAAAGTTCATATGGAACCAAAAAAGACCCCGAATAGCCACAGCAATCTTGAAAAAGAAGGACAAAGTAGATGGGATCACAATACTGGATATCAGGTTATACTACAACGTGACTGTAATCAAAACAGCCTGGTACTGGCACAAGAACAGGCATATAGACCAGTGGAACAGAACAGAGAACCCAGAAATGGACCCAAAACATTATGCTCAATTAATATTTGACAAAGGAGGCAAGAGCATACAATGGAGTAAAGACAGCGTCTTTAATAAATGGTGTTGGGAAAATTGGGACAGCTACATGCAAAAAAAAATGAAACTAGACCATCAACTTACACCATACACAAAAATAAACTCAAAATGGATAAAAGACTTAAATGTGACCCCGTGAATCCATAAAAATCCTGGAAGAAAATGTAGGCAACAAAATTTTGGACATCATACACAGCAGAATTTTCACTGATATATCACCTAAGGCAACAGAAACAAAGGAAATAATGAACACATGGGACTACATCAAACTTAAAAGCTTCTGCACAGCAAAAGAAACAACTATCAAAATGGAAAGGCCACCCACTGTATGTGAGAGCATCATTGCCAATGATACATGAGATAAGGGGTTAATTTCCAAAATATATAGAGTGCTCATACAACTCCACAAAAGGAAGACAAAGAATCCAATTAAAAAATGGGCAGAGGAGCTGAATAGATCACTTCACACCTGTCAGAATGGCCACCATCAACAAATCATCAAACAAGTGTTGGCGAGGGTGTGGAGAAAAGGGGACTCTAGTACACTGCTGGTGGGAATGCAGACTGGTGCAGCCACTATGGAAAACACTACAGTGTTACCTCCAAAAATTAAAAATTGAATTGCCATTTGACCCAGTGTTCCCACTTCTAGGAATATACCCTAAGAAGCCTGAAACACCAATCAGAAAAAATATATGTACCCCCATGTTCATAGCAGCACTATTCACAATAGCTAAGATCTGGAAACAGCCCAAGTGTCCATCAGTAGACGAATGGATAAAATAGCTGTGGTACATATACACAATGGAGTACTATGCAGCTGTAAGAAAGAAAGATCTCTTATCCTTTGAGACGACATGGAGGGACCTGCAAAGTATTATCCTAAGTGAAACAAGCTAAGCAGAAAAAGACAAATACCATATGATCTCACTTATTTGTGGAATATAATGATCATAACAGTCTGAGGAATAGGGTAGACCCAGAGATGTGGAAGTAGGGTACAGACTGACAACCCTCAGAAGAGGGGATGGTGGGGGAGGGAAGAGATAAACCACAGAACTTATATGCATGTACACATAACCAATGGACATAGACAACAAAGCTGGGGACTGGTGGGTGGGATGGGGAGGAGGGTGTCAAGGGGGTAAAAAATGAGAAACATCTGTAACAAAAATAAATTTATTAATTTCAACAAAAGAAAATAATAATAAAATAAAATAAAAAAGAAAGAAAACTACAGGCCAATTAAAAAAAAAAACATGTTTTTTTAATTGACTTTTTAGAGAGAGGGAGAGACAGAAACAATGTGAGAGAGAAACATACATGGGGTGCCTCCTGCATGCCCTCCAATGGGGGTGGAGCCCAGCAACCCTGGCATATGCCCTGACCAAAAATAGAACTGGTACTTCTCAGTCCAGGGGACAACACTCAATCCACTGAGCCCCATCAGTTAGGTTTAAAACAATTTCTAATTAAGCCCCCAGATCCATCCGCCTCCTCCTAGGCTTTAGAAATCCGACCGCAGGGAACCACCGTAGCCCCACCACTCCAAGCCTAGGAAGCTGGAATCTTCTACCAAAAGAGTCTAAAGGGAGACTTTTGGGGCGGGGCACACGTGGGGTCAAGGACGGGCCGGATAGGGCTCCTCCCATTTGGCGGCCTGGCGGCTCTTCTGGAGTTCAAGTCAGAGGCAGGTGGCCCCGGCCTCTCTCACCAGGCGGCTGGAACAAATGGTGGAGACGGGCTCCCGGGCGGGGCTACGCCGGGTCAGGGGCGGGGCCTCTGCTGCTTTCCACCACCGCCCCACCTACCTGGCTGCGGAGAGGCCAAGTCCTAGCAGAAGGTAGGAGTTGTGACTGCGGGCTGTGGCCCCGCCCCGGACCGCCATTGCCGGGCCTGTGGGGCCGTGCTGTCGCAGGTCCGTCTTTCGCTGAGCAGGGCGGGGCGACCGGCCTGACAGGGCTGCCCCCCCGCCCACTGAGGTCGCATTTCCCCACGGCTAGGCAAGTCTCCTGCCCGCGTTGCCGGCCCCCTGGCCCGGAGGGGAGGCCCGAGCTCGGGGCCTCCCACGGGAGGGGCCTGCGTTCGAGAGAACCATTTTCCAGTCTCAGAGGCTCCTGTGGGCACGATCGACCTTGAGCCAACCGCGTTTCGGAGGCCCTTCCTGTCCCCAAAGGGCTTCTCTCCGCGTTCCCCAGGAGCCTAGCCAGGTCGTTAGACGAACAAGTCGGTACACCGATCGCGCCGGTCCCGCAGCAGAGGCACAGCACTGGCTCATCCCTGACCCTCACCCAAACCTGCTCATCTGCTTTGTAGCCTCCAGAGCGCACAGTCCTCAAACAGTTCACCTGCCGGCAGCCGCAACCCAGCGGGAGAAGTGGACATGAGACTAGCAGGTGGGTGGCTTCCACAATGAACAGGAAGAAGTTCGAAAGGGGACCCAACTGGAGGCCCAGGTGTCCAGAGGTCTGTGTCTGGAGGGGCCCACGTGGATCACTGGGTTTGCTTTTGGAAACGGAGGACTATGCACAAGCAGTCATTCTAGGACTTGGAACAAGTCCTTTCACTTCGGAGGATTTCAGTTCCCCAAACTGTGAGATGAGAATTATGATAGTGATTTTCTACCAACTCGGGTAACTGGCTGCTGTTCAGAAAATAAGTTGGAGAGAGACTCCAGGGAGCATGGAGGCTGGGTGGAGAGGCAGTGGTCTTAAAGAAGAAACTGACCGAAGTGGCTGTGGGGTTGAATATGAGCCTGGTGCTAGTCCTGCTGTCAGTTGGATAACAAAGATGAAGATGAATTAGGGAGGGACAATCTGAGAGGTGGAGAACAGAGCTCAAGAATTGGAATCCATACCTGCTAAGGTTGCAGCATTATGAATATATTCCAGTGGAGCTGACCAGTGAGGAGATGGATGGGAGGGTGTAGCCTCAAGGCTAGGTCAAACAAATAAAGAGCCACTGCTCCCTGGGGTGGGGGATGTTTTAATTCAAGGCCAGGAGTAGATGAGAGCACCTATGGGGAGGGTAGAGGAAAGAGAGTAGAGTATAGGCAGAGAAGGCAACCTGGGACAGAAGACTGGGAAAGTATAACTTTTAAGGGGAGGGTAGAGGAGGAGGATCTAAACAAGGAGGATGAGGAGTGTCCAGATAGGGTCAGAGTGTGTTGTCCTGGAAGCCAGTAGAGAAGTGTTTCCAGAAGGAGGGCCTGGGCAGTCAATTGAAAGAGGTCAAGGAACATCAGGGCTCACAGGTGACCCAGGGAGCTGACACCAAGGTCATAGGCAACAAGCTGTTTTGGTGGGGTTATGGAGGCAAGGCCAGATTGGGGTAGGTTGTGAGAGAATGAGAGGTGAAACTAGAAAAAGCCAGTATAGATGACTGTGGAGTAACTGATGGTTCCATAGGATGTGATTCGGAAGGAGGGCTTTTCCTTCTGTGCTTTCTTATGAGGAGAGATGTTGAAAATAGAAGAGAAAGACAGAGATGGAATGATTACTATCATAAGAAACCTAAGCAGGGAGGAGAGCTTGGGGTCCAAGTCATAGAAGGTGAAGGGGCTGGTCTTCAAAAGGAGTAGGGACCTCTTCCTTCATCATAACAGGAGAGAAAGAGGATCTGATGGGTGGAACACAAATATTGGCAGCCTCACAGGCAGGAAGCTAGGAGGCTCCTAGGGAAGTGCTGGAGCCCTCTTGAGCAGTGAGTTCTGGAAGGCCCGTCCACACCTGCCAGGGAGAACCAAGCCGAGAGCCTTGGAGTTGGAACTCGATTTCCTCCTTCCACTTGCCAGGAGCTCAAGTCCCTGCTCTGGCCTGCTGGATGGCCACAGGTCTTCACCTTCCTGTCCTCCAGTCACTTCTTCCAAGTGGATGGGGAAATCTGGTCATAAGAGGTCCTGGAGTCATTGGGAGCTCACTAGCATCTGAGGTGGCCTTGCCTTGTCTGTCCTGCGTCCAGGCCCCCTCCGCATCGTGGCCCTGGTTGTGACTGTGGGTCTCACCTGGATCGTAGCCAGCATCCTCCTGGGTGGGCCTGGCAGTGGCTTCCCTCGCATCCAGCAACTCTTCACCAGTGAGTGTGGGACTATTCCTTGCCCCACTACAGAGGTCCCTAGGGCGGCCACCTGGGCCTATGGGCTGAGGCTCAGGGTGGGTGGGGGGGTGGCCTGGATTTTCTTTCTCTTTCCAGCTGCCCTTAGTCTGTCTGACTAGCATCCAGCACAGCCTTCGGCTGGGAAGCCAATCCTCGTTGATTAGAATTCTGATCCCAGTTGGAGTTGGCAGGGCCTAAGTGAGGGGCAGGGGGACTTCTGCTGAACATTGGGGATGATGCCCTGGTTGCTCCCTGCAGGCTTTGTGCTGAGTTCTGAGATGGAGATGGAGGTGTACCTTGTCTCTGGTGATGGGTCACCTAATAATTTTTTACAATTCCAATTTACCCTTTTCCTGGAGCAGGGAGCTTTGCATATGAATATCATTTAGACTTGAGCAGGAACATGCCAAGATCAGCCTGGCTTAGCCCTTGGCCTCTGAGCCTGCTGCCCTACCACCTTGACAGCATGGTATACAGCCAGGCTGCCCTGCTGCAGGCCCCAGGAGGCCTCCATGCTAACAGAAACAACTCTCTGTACCCACAGGTCCAGAGAACTCAGTGACTGCAGGTAAGGCTCCTGTCGCCTCCTCCTCCTCTGGGCCTACCCCTCATACTACTTCTGTGATACCCCTGCCTGCCCCCAGTTCTCCAGGGTTTCTGTTCTCCATTTATCTCTCCCCAAACTAGCCCACTGGAGCTGCTTGCATCCTGTGAACCTTGAAAACAAGTTACCTGCTTCCAGAATACACTGGTGGGACAGGCATAGGATAGACATTCCCATTTCAAAAGGGAAATAGTGGAAAGAATAAAGGGGTCACCGTTCCCAAGCAAGTCCAAAACCCAGAGGGGCAAATGCCATTAGGCTTCAAGGCCTGAGAAAAATCTTTTGTGGCCCAATGATCTGTCTTCTGGGCTCTCCAGTGTGGTGGGGTTGGGGGGGATACTCTGGAATGGAGGGAATGGTCCTACCCTCTGGGCCTGAGTTATCTCTGACCTCAGCAGCCACACTCTGCCTTTGGAGTCATCCTTCCTTCTGTCCTTTCTCTGTCCCTTTCAGTCAAGGCCAGCATTTTCTGCTATTATAAAATTCTCAAAAACCTTATTGGTCTGTTCATGAGGGTCTAAGCTATAGGACAATAGGATCCTCCAGATCTTTCCTGGGTAACCCCATCTCTGTTTTTGGCTTCTGCTGACATGGTTGAGTGGACCCACAAGTCACACACCTCAGCTCTTTGGAGAACAGTTGTCTGCCACACCCTTGGTGTTCTGTCCAGAGCATGCTTTCTTATTTTTTGCAATATGATTAGGCTGAGAATTTCCCAAATATTCACAGTCTGGTTCTTTTATGCTTAACAATTCCTTTCTCACTTTACTCTCCCCTTTCAAATCTTACTGTGAGATGGTTCCAGGGAAACCAAGCGCTGCCCTCAACACTTTGCTTGGAAATCTCAGGAAAATATCCAAGTTCAGCATTTACAAGTTCTACCTTCCCCAAAACACAAGAACACAATCGGCCAAGTTCTGTGTCACTTTATGACGAGGGTAGCCTTTTCTCTAGTGTCCAATAGCATGTTTCCCATTTCTATCTGAGATCTCACCAGAACAACCTTTAACATTCACATTTCTAGCAACATTCTGGTCATCATTATATATGTATTCACCAAGATGATAGAAGCTTTCTCTGCTGCTCTTCTCTCTCCTTTCTGAGCCCTCGCCATAATCACCTTTAATGTCTACATTTCTACTAATAGTCTCTTCAAGGCAGTCTAAGCCTTTTCTTTATTGATTTTAGAGAGAGAGGAATGGAGAGGGAGAGAGAGATAGAAACATCGATGAGAGAGAACATCAATTGGCCGCCTCCTGCATGCTCCCCACTGGGGATCTGGCCATAAGCTGGGCATGTACCCTGACTGGGAATCGAACCGGCGACCTCTTGGTGCATGGGTTAACACTCAATCAGTGAGCCACACCAGCTGGGCAGTCTAAGCCTTTTCTAACATGCACCTCAAAAGTCTCCAGCTTCTACCCATTACTCAGTTCCAAAGCCATGTCTACATTTTGAGAGATTTGTTACAGTATATATACTCCGCTTCCTGGAATCAAAATCTGTATCAGTTTCCTGGGGCTGCCATACCCTCTGAAGGCTCCAGGGGAGGTTCCTTCCTGCTTCTTACAGCTTCTGGTGGCCCCAGTTATTCCTTGGCTCATAGCCACATCATTCCAGTTTCTGCCTCTGTCTTTATATGGCCTTCTCCTCCATGTCTGTGTCTTCTCTCATATAAGGACAATTGTCATTGGATTTAGGGCCACCCTACTCCAGGATGATCTCATCTTAATGAATTATATCTTCAATGATCCTATTTCTAAATAGGGTGACATTATGAGATACTGGGAGTTAGAACATCAATAAATCTTTTGTGGGGACACAATGCAACCTGTGACCGAGGCTGTCCTCCTGTCCTTCCACCTCTTCCCCATGGGAATCAGGTGCTATCTTCATTACTGCTTTCCTGCAGTCCATTCTGGCCATGCGCTCATTTGTGCAGTTGCTCTCCCAGCTGCTGCTCCTTTCTCTTCTCCAACTGGTGGCAGAAAAGCCTCCCTGGGGTCCCTGTCACCTTGCCCTGAGGCAAGCCCCATCGAATACAGAGTGTGTATGGAAGTGTCCCTGGCCTGAACCATGTCCCCTCCCCACACCAGTCCCCTGCTCTGTCATCACTCATTCCTCTCTATGGGCTGGTCCTGACCTCCTCCTCTCAGACTTTGGGTGACCCCAGGGCCAGGCCCATGGGTCACCCCTGCTGTCCCTGCCCAGAGCCACGGGCCAGGAAGTATAAGTGTGGCCTGCCCCAGCCATGTCCTGAGGAACACCTGGCCTTCCGCATGGTCAGCGGGGCTGCCAATGTCATCGGACCCAAGATCTGCCTCGAGGACAAGATGTGAGCTCCTTGGGGTGCATGGGTGGGGTGGGGGAGGGAATGGATGATTGGAAGCTGGGTCTGCAAGGCCAGGAGAGTGGAGCAAATGTGCCACTGAAGGGCTGTCCCTGTGCTAGGCTCATGAGCAGTGTCAAGGACAACGTGGGCCGTGGACTGAACATTGCCCTGGTGAATGGTGAGTTTCCTGTGATTTGGAGTCAGAGTTTGGTTCATGAAAGTTGAACCCTGTTGTGACCTTCCCCATCCCCTCCCCACAAGGAGGAGGCATCTGGATGTTGTCTTGGCCCTCCCCTCCCCTCCCGTCCCCTCCAGAATTCCCAGGGAGGTGGGGATGGGATCTGTGCTAGCTGAAGCCTCCAAAGAAGGGACTAAATGAACAAAAGCATGGTAGCAGTAAAGAATTAGAAGTTTCTAGGAATTTGAAGGGTGCTTCATTGGGAGCCCCTGGAGGGCTTCAAATGCCAGGCAGAATCACTGAAGCCTTGGGTGGTCTGCAGCTAACTGAACAAGGGGCACAGATGGCATGAATGTGGGAGGATATTTGAAAAGCTTCCAGAAGGGCTGTACCCAGTGGCCATGCCATGTCGTGAGCCTGGTCTGGGAGGACTGAGGTGATAGGGTGGAGCTGCCCCAGTAGCTTGCCCAACAAGATCCCCATCCTCCCTCTCTATCCAGGGGTCAGTGGTGAGCTCATCGAGGCCCGGGCCTTCGACATGTGGGCAGGAGGTAAGTGGCTGCTATGGCCTCCCACTTTTTGACTGCAGCAGAATGACTGGGTATCCTTCCCCTGAAACACTGCTCTTCCTCTGTCCATTCACTGGGGGCTTCTTGAGTACTTCCTTGGGTTCAGAAAAGTCAGGGGTAAGGACAGGTATGTGGTCATGGGGAGTGCCTTGGCTTCTTATACTAGTTCATCCCTCTACTCACTTGATGACCCTTAGTGGGGTATGTCCCTGGCCTGATCCCTACTTTAAGTGTCCTTGTTTGAAGAACAGGGTTTGGTGGGGGAGGGATGCTCAGTGGTGCCTGATGCTCTGTGTTCCATGGGAACTCTCCCCCCAGATGTCAATGAGCTACTGAAGTTCATACGGCCATTGCATGAAGGCACCCTGGTGTTTGTGGCATCCTACGACGACCCAGCCACCAAGTAAGTAATTGCCCAGGCCAGCCTCAGCCTTGCTTTCCTGTGGCGACAGCTCACTTCTTTTCCTTCTGTGCTGCAGGATGAATGAAGAGACCAGGAAGCTTTTCAGCGATCTGGGCAGCAAGAATGTCAAGGACTTGGCCTTCAGGGACAGCTGGGTGTTTGTAGGGGCCAAGGGTGTGCAGAACAAGAGCCCCTTTGAGCAGGTATGGGTGGAAAGCCTGTTATCTCCACTTCCCACCCCAGCACAGCTAGCCTGGCCTTTCTGCCTGCATCTCATGAGGTCCCTTTCTGTTCATTCTGCAGCCTTCCCTAAACTCTGCCCCTGCACCCCTACACAGTCTGCCGAGGAAGGGGCAGTAACTCTGACCTTCCCTTTCCTGTATGAATTTCACCCTAAAGGGTCTTTAAGTGGCAAAGCTTTCACATTGGCAAGACTCATAACTAAGAAACTTTCCTCCCAAACATATTCAAGATGCTTGGTCCTGTCCCATCCTCCCAAAACCTAATACCCCCACTCACACTGCACGCCCTTCTCCCGCCAGCCCTGGCCAACTGCTCCTCAGGGGCCACCTTTGTCAGGCCCTGTTCGAGGGGCTGGTAAACCCCAGGTGCCATCCTCATCTTTAGGAGGCTCCCAACTCTGTGAAAGCCATGGTGTCCCCAAACCCTGTTCCCCACAGCAAGACAAGATAAGCAGGTTGTTCCAGTGGTTTCTGGAAGGCTGCCAAAAGAGCAGCTTAGCCCCCAGAGAAGAAACACCCCCCTGACTTTGCTCTTCCTATAGCTCCCAGCAGCTCCATGTGGGCTGGGTGAAGACAGAGACATACAAACTCCCTCCTGACCTTCCCAGTGTACCAGGCCCACAGAAATGCAGAGAGCTGACCCCCCTCATTGCACCTGTGAGGAAGGCATGCCAGTGCAGCTATTGCCATTTTTAGATGACAAAATCAAGGTATTGAGACAGACAGAAGGGGCGAGTGCCCTGAGAGAGCACAGTTGGTTGACACTAGCACTAGGGGACTGACAGTTCTGTCTCCTGTGCCTGAGGGCTGAGGCTGTGACTTCCTGCTCCCCTGACCCCGCAGCACGTGAAGAACAGTAGGCACACCAATAAGTACGAAGGCTGGCCCGAGGCACTGGAGATGGAAGGCTGCATCCCTAGGAGAACCACAGCCAGCTAGCCAGCTGAGCGCAAGGACCAGGCTGAGCAAGGCTGCATATCCCTGGCCCAGGAGGAGGCAGCGGCAGCGGCAGTGCCAGCACAGGGCGGAGTCCTGACCCCACACCCAGCCAGGAGTGCTCTCTTGCTTCTCACATCAGGACTCCAAGGTGGTGACCGGTGACCAGTGTGTGACTGGTGGTGGGGACTACAATGGCCAGCCTCATCACACTTTGTCAAGGGAGCCCAGGTACCCATCTCCTTTTCCTAAAGCTGCTTCCCCTAGTCAGCCCCCACCCAATTCCCAAGCACCCCCCCAGGCACAAGGCCTTGGTGCTCACCCCTTTACTGCACAGCCAGCTGGTTGGACATCTTCCAAAACCTCTCCACCCCACACCCGTTCACTTTCTGCAGGCTAGTCCTGTTTTGAATGTGATTCCATCTGGTGAGCCACACCTGGCAGCTGTAGCAGGGGACCTGGCCGCCTCTTGCCCCGCTCTCTGCAGGAAGGGGCTGCCTTAGAGCCTGGCTGGCCAGGGTATAAGGTAATGAGCCTGGTCACAGTCCCTAGTACAGTGGGTGGCAGCTCCTGCAATTTGTCAGAGGACTCGGCTTCCAGATAACCTGTTAATAAATTGGTGCCCCCAGTGGAATGAGTGCATTCAGTGCGGAGTCAGGGGTGGTGGTGTCCTAGGGGGGAGGGACGTGTCCAGGAGGCTCAGCCGACCTACCCCTACAGCCTTAGCAGACAGCCTTATCTCCAAGTCTCCTGCCACGGACATGTCCTGCTATTGCTGAGCTGTGTCTCAGGCAGTGAGCAGAGCAGCTCCCCAGCTGGTAGCCCCATATCCTTGTCTAGGGGAGACAGTTCTGCCTTCTGGGGCTGCAGGAAACCCACTGACTCCTTCAGACACAGCACAGGTCTGTAGGGACACAGATGGGAATTAAAACCAGTCCTAGGGGCCTCCCCACTACACCCAGCCTCCCTGAGAGCTAGTGTGTCTCCCTGAAGCACTCAACTTTGGAAGCCTTTGAAATCAGGGCTGCGAAGGGCAGAGTCACCAAAGCCTCACAGATTAGTTGTATTTCCCTTCACTGAGTGAGAACTAGCATGAAACTATCAGGAGTTTTGCTGGAATACCACATCTAGAGAGTGCAGAAATGCTCTGGGGTCAGAAAAAGAAGAGAAGGCAGTTTGGACTTCCTAAATGGGAGGAACTGGGGCACCAGCTAGGCAGCCTCGAGGGGTCCATGGTGGGGGTGATGAACTCACAAGTCCTGTTCTGGAGATGGGCTTCCCAAGCCTCTGCCTTCTAGGAGTTCAGTGCTGCCAGAATGCAAGCAAAATGTCAAGAAATGAAGGGTTTAAAGAGGTGGCAGAAGAGGAGTGAGAGACCCAGGAAGGAGAGGCTTTGGTTGTGATGCCAGGACTGGGAAGGGTCAGGGAATTGGAGACTCAAGGAGGGCCCAGATTGCTTGCTCAAGAGATGGTGATCATGGAAGCTGACACCCAGCCTGACCCTGTGCCAAGCACTTTATGTGTATTCTTTTTTTATAGACATTATATTTTATAGAGTTCACAGCAAAGTTGAGCAGAAGGTACAGAGAGAGAGATCCCACATACATACCCAACCTCCACTGACACATCATCATCACTCAAAGCCCAAAGTTGACATTAGGGTTCCCTCTTGTGTAGTAGTCTGTGGGTCTGACAAATATATAATGATGTATATCTACTATTACAGTATCACATATGTATTTATTTTTAAACCTTTTTATTATGGAAATTTTCAAAGGTCTCCCAAAGTAGAAACAATAATATAAATAAACCCCAACGCACCACAGTGATCAAATGAAATAGAACCTCACTGAAGGTCCATACTGCAAGGTTGGGAGGCTTGTAGGCCACACTGTGCCTCTCAAACAACTGCTGTGACTACCCCACCTTTCTCAAACATTCACCAAATGCCTGCCCTGGGCCAGGCTCTGTTTGTTACATGTTGGGAATGCAAGATTGAGCCCTAGTGACAGCTCCTAACTCCTCAGGGGGCTGTGCCCTCGCTGGGAGTTGCCAAAGTCACACAGATGGAAACAGCGGGCCAGCTTTACCCCCCACTTGGCCTCACACAGTCTAGAAGCTGATGGTAGTGTGGAGCACAGCCTGCCTGACTTTCCAAAGTGGAGGTCAAGCTTTATCCTGCAGTCCTCTTCTGCCAGGGTGTCATCCCCCCACCCACAGCCCTACCCTTTAGGAGTTACAACCTCCTCAGTTACAAGTACCAGAATCCCAACAAACTGGGATAAGGAAAAGATAAGTAATGACAGGAGGGAGACTTGTTCCTGTAACAGACCACAAAGCCCATAGGTGATAGTAGCTCTAATAATGTCATCAGGACATGGGCTCTGTCCATCTCTTAGCTCTGATTCTTTCTGTATTAGATTCTTTTTCAAACATGCTGTCTCCCACAGGTAGGGGGTGGCAACTCCAGCCAAAAACAAGAGTTCCCACCTTCCTAGTAGTTCCAGTACTTGCCCCTGGGGACTAACTCTCATTGGTCCAAACTGGATTATGGGCTTATCCTTGCATTAGTCAGTGTGGCTCTGATCGACTACCCCTGGGCATGTGCCTACCCCAGAGGCCAGCGTTGGAGCCATCCACATACAAACCTTGTGTACCAAGAGAAGAGATGGTTCCCCCAAAGGAAATTGAGGTGCTGTGACCTGATGCTAGGTAGGCACTACACTTCTTGTAAATATCCTACATTCCATCCTGTGCTTGTACAGAAGGACTTCCATGAATGCTTATTATTACATAGTATTCTAGGAGGCTGCTGCCTAGAGAGCAGAAGATAGGCACTCCCCTCAGGGTCACCACTGTGACCCTATTAATAATACAGTGGCAGGTCTCCCATGTGAAGTATGTTTGTGTTTTGGCTGTCATTATAATTTGTTCTATCTGTTCTCTCAATCCAGATGACTTCTTTTTTGAAACTAGATATCCTTGACTGATTTGTAGAGCCCCTCCTCCTCTTCTAGGGTAAATATTAATTCCTTAAATTAACTATGAACATTCTCTTGCCTTTAATTTAGCCATCCCTTTTTCCTGCAGAGAAGGCCTCCAAAGTCCCTCATGTCAGACACCCCGGCAGCCCACTCTAGTTTTTCAGGGAAGATTGAAGTTGTAAGAACGAGGTGGAACTAGGTGGTGCAGGGTCTCCAGAAGTGCAGGTTTATTGGGAATCAGCCTGCCGGACTAACTCTAAGGAGAGAGTAGCAACTGGCTTGTACAGACTAGGGCTGGGGGGTGGTCATTTCAGCCCAGGAGACATGGTCGTCTTTGATTGGTCGGGCCCGGGGTCTCCCCAGTTCTTGATTGGTCGGGGGCTGGGGTCTCCCAAGTTCTTGATTGGTCGGGGGCTGGGGTCTCCTGAAACTTGTTTTTCTTGTCAAGCTACCATTAGCAGTTTTGAGTGGGTTAGGGTGTTTCCATCATTCCGGTCCTCCTGACTGGAGTGATAGGTTTTAGTTTTCTGGAATGAGAGGCTTAGGGAAAGGTTAAATGACAAGAGTGATGGATTTTGGTTTCTTGGAATGAGAAGTTTAGGGCAGTAATATGGAAGTTAAGAGCTAACAGAAGTGACTGACAATAATGGGGAGCAACCTACTGACTGCATTTGCTCTCCTTGACCCCTGGCACCAATTCCCATTCAGTTGAAATATAAAAACACAAGTTTCGCCCTGGCCGGTGGCTCAGTTGGTTGGAGCATCGTCCTGTACACCAAACGGTTGCAGGTTTGATTCCTAGTCAGGGCACATACCTAAGTTGCAGGTTCGATCCCTGGCCAGGGTGCATTCAGGAGGCAACCAGTCGATGTTTCTCACATCAAGGTTTCTTTCTCTTGCTCTAAAAATCAATAAACATCCTCGGGGGAGGATAAAAACAAAAATAAACAAACAAATAAACCTGCAGGTTTCCTCCAATTAGGACATCATATCTTTTATGTTTTCCTTCCCATGCTCTTCCACTAGACCCATTCCCCTTATCCCTCTGGCCAGCTTTACCCTGTCCTCAGACAGCCCTACCACCACCACACTTTTGCAAACTGCAGTCTTCAATTGCAGCATGTGCCAAGCCAAGCCCTCTCAGGTGTGCCAGACTGCTTCCATCAGGACCCCTCAACCCCACTTGAGAGGGTCAGTTGCGAACCTGCTGGGACACCAAGTCCACACACAAATGGATGCTGCCTTACTAGTCCGTTGAGGCTACAAAACAGCCTAGAGCAATGGCCTCTGAATATTTTTGATCACCCACATAAATCAAATCTTCTTGATCTTGCAACTCCACCCTGTGTATATCTACATATGTATCATATGCACATACTAATCTGAAATTTATAAAACAAATACAAAATTTTAAAATGTTTAAGTTTAAATTAATAAATTTTATTAAAATTATTATAATTATGTATTTGAAAAATTAAATAAAAGTAGAGATGACTTGGGGGTTTTTTAGACATTCTCGATGATGTGTCCTGCTCCTCTTGGGGCAACTTTAGGGACCATGGACTCCATTACAGCTGTGACAAGAGGTTCTTCCCCAGCAGTGGGTTGCCACTGAACCTCTGGCAGACTGAATACAATTGCTCTGCAGCCTTTGGGAACATTCAAATCCCCTTCGAATCTGCATTTGTTTACTGTCTTCCCTTGTCCTTTTCTACACCCTCACCACCTTTTTGCCCATCCTTAGTCCATCTATTTGCATCTCTTTTCTGTGACTCCTCTGGACCCTGCTGGTGGCGCCAAATGGTGTTGAAAGGAGGACAAGTCCCCGGTGCCAGGGGTCAAGGAGAGCAACTGTAATCAAAAGGAATGTGGAACCAAACCAAGCCTGGAACCCGATGTCCAGGTTGGTCGGACTTGGCCCTCAGACTGGGCGCCGGGAGAGGTAACGTGGCAGAAACCCTGACCCTAGGCATCCCAGCTGTGCCTGGGTTCCACTGCCCCCAGAGGTCGCAGCGTGTTTGGGAATGACTGGGGGCCCTACCCGGAAGGGATCACCTCGGCGAAGATCATAGAAGACACACTGGGTTCGCGCGCCGCATGAGACCGCCCCCAGCAGCAACCAACTGCGACCCGGAAAGCGCCCGCGCGCCCGCGCTAGTTCGTCGCTCCTAGTACGTCACATCCGGTCGGGACAGGCCCCAGCCGGGAGAGGTGAGAGGGCCTTCGCTGAGGAGGCGGGGCGGGGCGGGGCGTCGGTGGACCAGAGGCGGAGCCTCGGTGGGCGGGCCAAGCTCCAAAGCGTCCGCCGGTCCCGCAGGCTCTGGCGCCGGCGCCGAGCTTGTGGGCTATAGCGGCAGGTGAGAGCCTCGGGCCGGAAAGGGCGGGCAGAAGGCGACCTCCGGCCCCTGCACGGCTCGGCTCTCGCCCTCTCAGGCCAGGCGGCTGGTCCGACGGGGAAGGGCCGCGGCTCCGCGTTCATGAGGCCTGGCGTGGCTGCGGGGCCTGGGAGTGGCGTGAGGGGCCCCCCGCCGCGACCTCAGGATCGCCCGAGCGGGTCTCCCGCCTGTCAGCTGCGGCGCGGCAGCGCGAGCCTGGCAGCGGCGCGCCCCTCCTTCCGTCCGTCCCTCCCTCCCGGGTTCCCGTCTGAGTTCTGCTCGTGCCCAATACGACAACTTCTAGACTCCCAGGTAGGGAGAAGCCCCGGGTCAGCACTGTCAACTGCCCTAACACTGAACACTCGACCCGTGGTGTGGAAAAAGCTGGCCCGGGGTTCCCTTCCCTGCCTTGGGGTACCTCTGCTCAAACTCTTCCGACCCTTCAAGCAGAAATGGCGTGGGATCTGGGCCAGACCCCTCTTGCAGTGACTCAAAGCCGCCCGCCGTATTGGAAGGACTGGGTGGATGGCCCTTAGCCTCCTCTCCCTTCTGAACTGAATCACGCCACCCCAGTGGTTTCAGTCCTGGGTGCCTTCATCTTTTCTTTGTGACTCCCCTCCACTTTGCTCCTCACATACTCCCTCTGATTTTCCTGCCTCCCTCTTCAGCGGTGGGACACAAGGCTGGACAAAGCCTCCAGGGTAAGTGACCCAAACTTAAAACCAGCAGAGGCCTTGGTATCCCAGGGGGGTTGGGTGAAGACTTTCCCACGGATGAACCTATTGCTCAACCTGCCCTCCACCTGATAATTCCCCTGCTCCCCAGTCTCAGATGAGGGAGACCAGGGCCAAAGACTGATAGGATCTACAGAGGCAGGGGCCTCTTCCAGGACTGGGACACTGCAGGGCATGAAGCAACCAACATTAGTGATGAAAAACCACTGTGTCCCCATCCTGGTTGCCCCAGTTCCAGCAGGTGATATGACAATAGGGTGGTGGTGACCCAAGTAGACAAGTAGAAGGAGGCGAACCTTCTCCTTTCACCCTGAGGCACCCCAATCCCCTAGAAACACTCATAGTCCCACTGGGAGTTCCAGGTTCTGGTAGGATTGCATGTTGACATGGGGGAGAGCCCTGGACTCTGAACAGAGCCCCTCAGATGTGACACAGTGGTTCTAGGAACTCAAATTCCAGGACTGCTAGAGAAGTGGAAGCTCTGATAGGAGGAAAAGTTTCCCCTCCAGTGGACATGTGGCCCTATCTGACCCCCTCCTGCTGCTCCTTCCAGCAACTTCCATGGGGAGGGGGAACCTGCACCCCCCCCCCCGGAACCTTCATCACACCACTGTCAGCAGGTAGGGTAGGCCAGATATCCACGGCAACACTTTACAAATGCATGTCGGTGGCGGACATCAGTCCCTGGGGCCTTTGGCCTGATGGTCACCGGCTGCCCACAGAACATTGCCGATTGCTTTGTGTCTGACAGGTGACACTCAAATGCCCTAACCTGCTCTCTGATGGCCTCTCAGATCTGGCCTGAGCCAGTATTTCCCATCAGCACATTTTCTCTCCTCAGGCTTGTCTCCTTGTCACCCCTGGGCAGCCTTTCAGAGATTTCATCCCAGTTGTGGCACTGCTATAGCTGTGTCTTGAAGCCAGTGGGAATCAGGCTAGTGGTGACAGGATTGGAAGTGGCTCTCCTGAATCCCTCGATATTAGGACATCTCTGCAGGGTCACCGTGCTGGGGGTAAGTCCAGGGAAATCAGCAGGTATGGGCAGGCTGACTGGGAACTCGCATTTGTAGGTGGCCCCTTTGGGTTAGGGATGGCAAGCTTGAGGCAGTTGTGTTGAGGGATGGAACAGCTGAATGGCACTCAAGAGCCAGCACTAGACATTGCCTTTCTGTTCCCAGGTTTGGGGTAGGGGGCCCTGCTGAATCTCTTAGCTGTGGACTTCCAGGTCCCCATGCTCCTGGGTTCACCAATGCTCACCCTCACCAGCCACCTCTCTGTGTCCCTTCTCTTCGCAGGAAAAGCTCTGCCATCAAGGAAAGCAGCGCAGGGCCAGGCCTCACCCATGGACCCTTCTCAGGACAACTGAAAGGCATCAGTGAGGCTGCTCTCCTAAGCCACAGAGGGCCTGGGCACACCATCCTCTGAGAGGAGCCATGATGTTTAAGAGGGCCAGCTCCCAGCTGAGGTCTGGCCTGGGAGGGGGCAGTGGTTGCACAGGCCCCCTAGGCATGTTCAGGGTTGCCTTGCTGCTTGTCAGCCTGCCATGGGTGGCCCAGGGAACAGCCATCACCAACATCAGCACAGCTCTGGGCTCTCCTGGGCCACTGCCAGGGAGTCACTACTTGAGCATTGGGGATGGCTCTGTGGTGGAGTTTGAGTTCCCAGAGGATAGTGAGGGCATCATTGTGATCTCAAGCCAGTACCCAGGCCAGGGCAATGGGCCAGGGCCCGGCCCCACACTGAGAGTTACCTCCTTGGATACAGAGGTGCTGACCATTAAGAATGTGAGTGCCATAACCTGGGGCAGAGGGGGTGGCTTCGTGGTAAGCATTCGCTCAGGTTTGCCTGGGCTAGCCCCACTCCACATCCAGCTTGTGGATCCCCATGAAGCCCCACCCATGCTGATTGAGGAGCGGAAAGATTTCTGCATCAAGGTCTCACCTGCTGAAGACACCCCCACCACCATTGGCACCGACCTGGTCCACTTCTCGGAGAACCCAATAATCTACTTGCTCCTGCCTCTTATCTTTGTCAACAAGTGTTCATTCGGGTGCAAAGTGGAGCTTGAGGTTCTGAAGGAGCTCCTGCAGAACCCCCAGCCCATGCTGCTGGGCCTGTTAGGCCAGTTTCTGGTCATGCCCTTCTATGCTTTCCTGATGGCCAAGGTCTTCATGCTGCCCAAGGCCCTGGCTCTGGGCCTCATCATCACCTGCTCGTCACCTGGCGGTGGGGGAAGCTACCTCTTCAGCCTCCTTCTTGGAGGAGATGTCACCCTGGCCATCTCCATGACTTTCATCTCTACAGTGGCTGCCACTGGTTTCCTGCCACTGTCCTCAGCTGTCTACAGCCGCCTGCTCAGTATCCATGAAACACTCCACGTGCCCATCTCCAAGATCCTGGGGAGCCTGCTCTTCATCGCCATCCCCATTGTAGTAGGCGTGCTGATCAAGTCCAAGCTCCCCAAGTTCTCTCAGCTGCTACTGCAGGTCATTAAGCCCTTCAGCTTTGTGCTGCTCCTGGGTGGCCTCTTCCTGGCCTACCGCATGGGGATCTTTATCCTGGCAGGTGTTAGGCTGCCCATCGTGCTGGTGGGCCTCACTGTGCCCCTAGTTGGCCTTCTGGTGGGCTACTGCCTGGCCACATGCCTGAAGCTGCCAGTGGCCCAGCGGCGGACAGTCAGCATTGAGGTAGGGGTGCAAAACAGCCTGCTGGCCTTGGCCATGCTGCAGCTGTCCCTCCGCCGCCTTCAAGCTGACTACGCCTCCCAGGCCCCCTTCATTGTGGCACTGAGCGGCACCTCAGAGATGCTGGCCTTGGTTATTGGGCACTTCATCTATAGCAGCCTGTGCCCAGTTCCCTGAGGCCCCTGGGTCAAGCTTTTGCCACCCCTAGCCCCCACCCTACACCCACTGTCCCCACAGTTCTTGTGTACCAAAGGCCTTTAGTTCTCATGTACTATGCACTCAGAAAAATCCAGGCTTATTTTTGTTACTGGTTTTTTATTCTCCAGCTTTCAGTGCCAAAGAGGCCATGCTGAGTTAGGTATGTGGGCACTGCCCAGAAAATATATTTCAATAAAAGAGAGAAGCAAGCTTGGGTCTCTTCCAGTCTTTTCCCTTTGGGGCCTGAGGGTGTCGGTAGAAGGGTGTTGCTGACTGGTGTGGGCCGGGGCTGGCTTGGGTGACACAGTGACCTCTGCACAGCCTTTCTCTCTCAGCCCTCCTTCCCCATGCATCCCCTGTGAGAGGTGGCCTCTGTTCTAGAATGAGCTGTGGGAGGATGAGGGCAGAAGCCAGACTCCCCTACCTGCTCCCAACTGTGGCCTTCCGCAGCCATACTAGGAAAGAGGAGGCAGAAGGCCTGTGGCCAGTGGGGCAAACTTATCAGGGTGGGGCCCTTTGTGGACTCCAGAGAACCACTGCACAGACCTGCTTCACCAGCCCCCTGGGAACTCAGGGCGGGCCAGGCCATGGGGGGGGCGGGGCAAGCGGGCTCCCAGCCCTCCCCCCTCCGGGTCCTCTGCTCTCAAATGAAGCCCACTGGGCCCAGATCAGTCGGTCCTCTTCCCTGTCCTAGCGAGCCCCCTGCACCATCTCCGCGATGGACTCTGTCACCCTGGGTGGTCCCAGTGCGGGTACAAAGCGGAACACCCAGGGGACTCCTCCTCCAGAAACGACAAGGCAGGGCGGGCCGGAGGCGGGGCCCAGGCTTCCGGCGGAGGCAGGCGGTTCCGGCGCGCGCCCGGGGGCGGTGGCGCGCAGTAGGGGGCTCTTGGGGTGCGTGTAGGTTTGAGTGATCGCTGCGCGGCCGCCATGCAGCTGACGGTGAAGGCGCTCCAGGGCCGCGAGTGCAGCCTGCAGGTAGCGTCACCAGGCCCCACTGCGAGCCAGCTCGCGCAAGACCCCCTCCCCCTCCAGGGCTCATGGCCGGGCTGAGGGTGGGGACAGGGCGGGCGGGCCAGCAGCACTGGGGAGGCCGGGAGAGCTGCCTTTAGCAGGGCAGAAGGCTCAACCCCTGCTCCCATCCTCGGCCTGGCCAGGTGTCAGAGGATGAGCTGGTGTCCACGCTGAAACATCTGGTCTCCGAGAAACTGAACATCCCCGTGCGCCAGCAGCGGCTGCTGTTCAAGGGCAAGGCTCTGGCAGGTAACGGGGAGAGGAGATGCCCAGGGAGCCCCGTGCGAAGTCGGGTCGGGTGTCCAGACCGAGCTAGGGCAGCATTGTGATGGTTGGGAAGTCGGCCACTTGACTCTGGAGGTGTTGGCTGAACCCTCCTCAGCCAGATGTCACAGAAATCCCTGAGGCCACCCCCACCGCTGTGGGTAACGACTTCATCAATCTCTTTTTGGCAGATGGGAAAAGACTCTCCGATTACAGCATTGGGCCCAATTCCAAGCTCAACCTTGTGGTCAAACCTCTAGAGAAGGTGTTATTGGAAGAAAGTGCCACAGGGAAACTGGCTGAGGCTCCACCCCCATGCCCACCTGCCTGGCAGCTGATCACCAAAGTCTTGGCGCGCCACTTCAGTGCTGCAGATGCCAGCAGAGTCCTGGATCAACTACAGAGGGTGAGAAGGGCAACCCCAGACGTCCACTCCTGTCCCAGCTGCTCCCACCTGCCTCTGTCCTGATGTATCCCCGTTGGCATCCTCTGAATCCTCCTGGCCTTCTCTCCTCAGGATTATGAGAGGTCCCTGAGCCGCCTGACCCTGGATGACATCGAACGTTTAGCTAGCCGCTTCCTGCACCCCGAAGTCACTGAAGTTATGGAAAAGGGGTTCTCCAAATAGGATTCACGGAGTATGGAGATGAGCCCGGCCAGGCTGCAAGCTGCATGTAGCATTAAATGTGTTCTCATGTTGCAAATTGGCTTATAATAATAATAGCTGGTGGGTACCCAGGAACCTGCACCCAGCTCTTGCTAGGTGCCAGGCACCACTGAAAGCACTTGACCTGGGTTTGCTCCTGTACCTCATACAAAAGGTGAGACAGCCAAGGCTCCTTGCAGTGAAGTGGGGGAGCCAGAATCCAAGTCCAGCCAGCTTCTAGAAGTGCCTCAGGATGAGAAAGAAAGAGGGACTGTTTGGAATATTCCGAGGGATGGGCTTTGGCATTTGGTGTTTAGCTCACTGAGAGTAAACCCTCAAGTGACTCCTTTCCAGACCTCTGGCAGGTCCGCATTGGTGAGAGGCAAAGTGACAGCCAGCCCTGGGTCCCCTCAGCTGCTGCAGCTGTTGTGCACTCAACAAAGGAAAAGCAGGTTGGGGAGTTGGGGATGAACATCACCCAGCTTTATGTTGTGACTTCTGTCAAGTCCCTATACCACATTGGTCCCCAGTTATTGACTCTTCTCAGTGAAGGCCACTCTTTAAACCTCACTCAATTTCCTTTGTCCGTACCCCAGACACGGGGGGGGGGGGGGGGGCGGGGGGCAGCATGTCTGCAGCAGTAGCCAAGCATGGCCCAGAAATGGGGTGTCCTGGCCTTTCCTATCACCACTCTTTCCTGGGCACCCCCTTTGCTTGTCTCTCGCTAGACACAGGTAGTTCTTGCTCCTGAGGGATGACAGGTGACTGGCTTGAGGTCACTCAGCAAGGTAGTGCCAAAGCCAGGTCCTAGCCAGGCCCCCACACCATGTGCTCACTCAGAGAATGGAAGTGGACCCTTCCCCCACCATGTGTGCACAAGGGCTTTCACTTTGCATACCCCTCACTGCTTAAGAGAAAACCTCAGGGTGCCAGGAGTGGGCAGAAGCACAACCTGGTGGCACTGGTCTTCCCACTCTGCCTGGTGTATGGGCACTGGAGGTCATCTAGGCACCTGCTCCTGGGAGGAGGTCACCCAGGGCAGTTGAGGCTGGAAGACAGCTGTGTGCACAGGAGGATGGGCACTCCATCCCTACCACCCTCCCTGCCTGAGGCCCTCCTGCCTGGGTCTCTGGGCTGGGAAGACAGACAGAGGCCTTATGGACAAAGGATTTGAAGAGCAAACGGAAGCCCCTGATCCCATCTGGAAATATCAAACAGCAGGGCCCACTTAGGAGCCTGTATAATCTAGCAGCTCCTGTGATAGAGTTGTCAATGCTCTCATTTATTTTGAGTCAGGAAGCTTATGTTGAAATTTTAAATGGTACTAAAGGTGAATGTGAGACTTTGACTTTGATCCACAAAGAACTATATTAGTTAGGCTACTTTTGGTTTCCAACAATTGGTTTAACCATAAAGGAAATTGGTTTAAACAATAAAGGAAACTTAACTGGTTTACAAAACTGAGAAGTACAGGGGTATTGGCAGCAGATGAACAATTTCACCAAATTCCCAGTTTCTTCCTACCTCCCCTCTGCACTCTGCAGTGTCTGCTTCATCCCAGGCTGCTGCCTCAGGATAAAAAGAAGGCTGCCTGCAGCTTCCACTGAATCTCACATTCACAGCCAGCAAGGAGCACCTCACCCTGTAGTGTAGCTTTTTTTCTCAGATGCCCCCTGCAAATAAACGCTGTCCTTTCATTGGTCAGAACTGGGTCATGCCTCCGATCATTTTGTCCAGGGGTGGGTTGGGGTTGGTAGTGGGAGGCAAGCGCCCTGGATATCCATGGACTGTGGGAGGAGGGAGATTCTCAACAAAAGCCAGTTCCTTAAGGAGGGTGAATGGTGGCCCCAAATAGCAACCATCCACTGCAGGGAAGTGAGATGCAGATGTACATTTCAGACAGACCCTAAAGGTGGTGGTTGAGTTCCTTGTGCCAGTGCCTTCCAACTTGGGGTGACAGCCATCAGGTGCTTAGGAGACATCTGGGCAGTTGGACATGGGGGTCAGGAAATCAGCAGGGCGATTGGGCAGGATGTGGAGACAGGAGTGGAGTCTTTAGGGTGTATGATGGGAACCTCAATGAAGGAAGAGCTGATTGGGGCCCAGGCCCAGTCTTATTCCAGAGCCCTCTGTAGCCTTCTATGATGATGGTCAGGAGTTACCTGTGAACAGGACATCCTAGAAGTTGTGAAGACAGATGAGGTGGCTTCCCAGGGAGTATGGCATGAAAAGAAGAGAGGACTGGGCCTTGAGGAATTTCACCAACTGGAGATACCATGGAGGCCAAGAACATCCCCAGATGCAAGGCCACAAGGACAGCTTAATGTTGGAAACCAAAAATGCCCCTCCAGAAAGGGAAAGTTGCCCAGTGCTGCCAAGAGGCAAAGTGAGGGCAAGATGGAGCCGCCTCTGCATTAGTAACAAAAAGGTCATTGGCGATGTTGAGGGGGCAAGAAGCAATTGCTATATAAGGAGGGGAGGAAGTGATAACAGTGACTTGGGACCCCTCATTTTAGAAGCTTGTGTGTGGCAGGGCAGAGATGGGCAGGGTCAGGGAAGGAAGAGGAGAGAGAGGAAATGCTGCAGGCGTGAGTGATGGGAGACCCGGGTGGAAAGGGACCCAGAGGCTCTGGTCCAGGCCCCATGCCATCATAAGAGGAGACTGGGGATTCCATTTGAAGATGGAGCAGCCACAGGCTGTACTCTGCCTTTGCCCCGAGAGTCTGGGGGTGGCCCCATGGGTACCTGCAGGCCCCAAATGCTAAGATCCTTCAATAGGTGTCTGAATGTTTACTGCAGGTGCTGTGCCCTTTCAAGCCAAGTGTCCACCCAGGTGGTGGGTGCCACCCTATCCACTGCTACCTGTCCCCTGCCCACTGTGGGGCCTTGAGACCCATCACCTGCCCCTCGAGGAGGGGCCTCAGGCAGTCCTTGACCACCCCAGGGACATGGTACAGATGGAAGACCCTGCTGGGATCACTATGACACTGGGAGAAGGCAGGATAAATGGTGGGCTCTCAGACAGAAATGGTCTGGCACCTGGACTGAGATGCTTGTGGTGCCATTTCCCAAGGGCCCAAGGAGGAGGAGCAGACTTGGAGGAGAGCAGCATTTGCTTTAAGTTGGCTTGTTGAGTTAGGTGCCCAGGTGATAGAGTAGATGTGCCCACAATTTGCTGGTGTCTTGCAGGCCTTGCCAACTCCAATAGGTCCAACAGGGCACTGCTTAGCCAGGCCAGGCACTTCCGAAGCAGATGAGATGTGAAAGCTGTGACTGGCCTCAGACCTCCAGGCCCTGAAGAGCCTGTGGAAGAGACAACCATCCTGTCCAACCGCAGGACTCAGCTGGAGTGACCTCCCTTGGTTTCTGGGGACTCGACTTCTTCCACACACTGTCCATAAACCCCTCTGGGGTGACCACATAACTCTGGTAATCCTCGTCCCTTGCCCTTTTCTACCCTCTCCTGCTTTTTCTTCTACTTCACTGCTCACTCTTTCTCTGGCTCCTTTATTGGTTCTTCCCCTTCGCACACACACCCCACCTTTTAATTTTGGAGGCTCCAAGGTTCTGTCCCCAGAGTCCTCTTCTCTCTCTTTCTATCTCTGTATCACTCCCCAGGGGAGCTTGTCCACCTTCACTCTCACATCTATGGCTCATCCCAGCCTTCTCTCCTGAGCTTCAGGCCACATCTCTAGGGTGTGATTCTGAGACAGTTCCTGGCTCTCCTGCAGACACCTCATTCAATCCTTTAGCACACACTCACTAAGTGCCTGCCATGTCCCAAATGCTGGCAACACTGGGACTGGAAGACACAGTTCCTTCTCTCTTGGCACCCACATCAGCCTGCCTCCATGAATGAATATACCACTCAGCCAGGCATTTTACAACAGGAAGTGAGGCCACCTTTGCCTCTCCCAACTCTCCCTTCTCATAGGCAATCAGGCAACAATATTTTTTTAATAGTCCAGAGCAGTTGCCTTGTAGATGTTCCAAAGTCTGGATTTGCCTGATTCCTTCCTCCTTAGATTCAGCTGAAGTGTTTTGATGAGAGTGCTGCCATGGGGATGCTGTGTCTTTCACCTTCCCCCCACCATCAACATCTGGGGGCACTCAAGGTCAAGCAGTCCTACTGTTGGAGAGGCTCAGTCACATGGTCAGTGTGGTGGTTGCCTGGTCTCTCTGTTGCAAAGTTGCATTTTCCCTTCCTAATGCACAAATGATCTGGAGTAAAACCTTTAGACCTTTATCTAATGGTTTTACCTTCCAAAGATGATTCTTGCCTGAATTAATTGCATTGGTGGCTTCAAAATGGTGGTTTTCTGATGCTTTCTTTCTTTTTACAATTATTAGTTGGCATTTCTCTTTTTTTCCCTGCTCTCTTTTCTCAATTATCAGAGTGGATGCATTGTTTTTATTTATTTAACAACTTAGAATCCAAAAGTATCATTTTAGGGGGTAATTTTTCTTGAGCTATAGCATGCGTATAGTAATGTGCATAAGTCATCACAATGCAGCCCGATGGATTTTTAAAGTGAATACACCTAGCCCTGGGCAGTGTGCTCAGTGGTTAGAGCATTGGCCCACTCATTGAAGAGTCTCGGGTTCGATTCCCAGTCAAAGGCATTTACCTAGGTTGCAGGTTTGATCCCCACCCTGGTCAGGGTGTGTGCAGGAAGTGACCAATGGATGTGTTTGTGTTTCTCTCACATTGATGTTCTCTCTCTTTCTCTCTCTCCACCCCCCCCCCATCCCTCCCTTCCACATGCTCTCAAAATAAAATCAGTGGAAAAATATTCTTGGTGAGGATTAACAAAAAATTAAAAATTAAAAAAAAATGTGAATAAACCCCTGTATCTATCCCCTCCAGATTGCTAGCACTCAGCACCTTCCCTGGTGCTCCCTTCAGGTCATACTCCTCTCCGTACCCCTCCAGTCATATCCTTTTGGATGTTCTAGCTTTAGTTCTTTCCTATTGACTCCTGTGTCCCTTTGACTTGCCTCATCCTTTTGTTTTTCAAGTACTTCCTTCCTGTTACTACAAGGTTCTCCAGGTTCATCTTGTATTTTTTCCTATCCAAGCCCTAGAATCAGCCATTTCTCCAAAAAGGTCTGGTTCTTTTTAGTGGAGAATGGTACCGAGAAACCAAGATCTGGGTGCAAGGTGTGTTCGTTGCTAATAGAGTGTCATTGCACCGAGATTCTTTCACTGGACAAAACTAGGAAAGATATTTTTAAGAGTTTATACTGTGTGCAGTGAAGGCCTGGGGTGGGACAGGAGCTGGGTAGAGGGGGGAAAATGGGGAGAGTATATGTAATGCTCTCAACAATAAAAATAAATTAAAAATAAATTAAAAATACATATTCTTATTAATTGCTGGTACTGAAAAAAAAAAAGAAGGAAGTTTATACTGCAATCCCCAATTTCAATTCAGCATCACAGTTCTTTGTCACCTTCCCTTATTCCACAGTGAGACTTCTCATTCCTGGCAGCATCTATATATTTACTCATTGGTTCTACCAGAGTCTGTCTGAAAGTACACCCAAAATAGCTTCACAGTCATCTCATCACTACTATTGCCAACAACAAACATCCTAAGA